TTGGACAAGTCCCTGCAGTTTTCTTGGCAAGATTTTCAGAAATGGTTTGCCCTTGCCTTCTTCCTAGGGCTGAGGGAGAGGGACTGGCCCAAGGTCACCCAGATGGCTTTGTACCTAAGGTGGGACCAGAACTCATGATTTCCCAATTTTTAGCCCAGAATCTTTAACCACTACATCAGACTGGCACTCCTTACTCACTTGGGAATAAATGCTACTAAATTTATTCTGAGTGGATATTGTAGCAGTTTCATTATCCTTTAGTTATCACCCATTGCTTACTTCATCCCCCCCCCCTTTTTTTTGGAGGGGATAGTGTCTTAACAGGGACATTCCGTTTAGATGGAGTGCAGAAATGGAAATGCAGATCTTCAAAGGTTTAGATATCTTTGAAGCCCGTAAGTCCCACTCTGGGGGTGACTCTGACATATACAGTAACATTCAAAGCTCTCTTTTAGACCTGAATTAATTATATGTAGTTTTAACTTTTATTTTATTAGACTGCTTTTGAAAAATCTTCAAGAGCAGAGAAAAATCTTCAAGAGGCTGCAATGCCAGGAGGAAGCATATTTTGAAATGTGTGTAAGAGACTGCATACCCTTGTATAGTGAAATTTTGATATTTCTACCAAATTGATTATCTCAAGAAAAAAAAATGAAGAAAAAAGGTTTTAAAAATAGGCCAAAGACTAAAGGATGATATTTTCTGAATGGTGCTCTGTGACAAAATTGTAATCAGGCACCCTGCATGTTAAAAGATCCATCTGGAGGAGCCAGATTTTGTGTTGGCCTTAAACATAACCAGTATTTACCTTTGATAACATAAAGGTGACATTGAATTCCAGCGTGGAACAGATCTGTTGACCATAATACTGAAGAGTTGAGTTGTGCCACACTGGAATTTGAATAAAAAATAGAAATGTAATATCTGCCCAGTCAAGGCACTGCTAATCCAGCAATACTCAGGTTTCAGGAAATGGAACAAAACATCTTTTTTATGTTGGTGAAGTGTGTCTAGAGACTTTTTGTTCACTGTGTATTTTTTATCTGACTCCTGTACTGAAGATGGCTTTCCCACATTTGAGTTTCACTCTATGCTCCAAAAATGAGTTCTCAGGTTTTTTGTGTGTGAACAATTAGCTGAATTTGTAAAACTGGTAAAACTATTTGTGCATCATTTATACATTAATTTCTGGCAAGTTGCCTAGGATTGCTTCAGTAAGCAAATCTCTCTTCTCCTCCCCCCCATTCCCCCCCCCCCATGTATTTTAACAATCAGCAGGGCTCGGATTTGCTTTCTATCATGAATGACAGGTTCCCTCTTTCTCGAGGCCAAAAAAAATATTCTTGGGAAGCTTTAAAGATAAGTTACGAGAACTTGTGCTTCATTTCTTCCTAAGATGATGATAAGCAGTATATATTTAGCACCGCTCCTTCCTAAATGGTTTTTGATGCTAGATCATTCAAGCGTATAGGACTCTTGATGTGGGGAAGAGATGCTAATCTAAATTTGTACCGAAGGGAAGCTGTCTGCTTTCTTTTTTATGAACATCAGAAAAATTGTGAAGGAGCACATTTCCATTCCTCAGAAAAGATATCATGTAGAGTTTGCTTATGTGATGTCAGTTGGTAGGAACAGACGAATTGGTAGGAAAACCAAGATTTGCATAGGTAGACATGAGTCCATGAAGTAGCTGATGTTGTTAATAAAAGCTCTAGGTTTCCACCTAAAAATGCATTCTGAAATGTTCAGGTTAATCTACTCCCCCCCACCCCTGACCCGTCTTGTTATTTGTCTGCTGAGAAAAAGGTTGGATTTAGTAACATCTTGGAATTTTGGATTTTGAGTAATGAGTGAAGGACCTGTTACAACTTCTGCTTAGTGTTAGGCTGGACAGACAGAAGGGCTTTGAGGCAGATGAAATATTGTTCTGCCTCTGTCAAGGTTCAGGCTTTTAATCTCCAACTGCCACACATCAAACTATAAAGCATAATAACTTCACATAGAATGCTAATCATGAAATGATTCAACCCTTCTTCAGCAGGGACTAGAACCTTGTAGAGTGTTGTATTCTTAATTGCTTTTTCATTGTACAAATATTGGACTGGAATCATAATGTTAAGGCTTAGTTCTCAGACGAATAAAGTTGCTGAATTCCTCTTACCAGCAGAAAGAGCCAGCTCCCCTCTAGTGCAGAGTGAAGACTGCGAGAAAGACTGGAGTCTCTACCATTAATGTCCATTCAGTTATATTGATTCCAAACTGAAAATTAGTTCATTTGCTGGGATTCCGCTATTGTACTCTTTCATAAATCTTGCTAAACAGAACTCTGTGAATCTGAGTCCAAGGAAATGAATTCAGTAGTACCTTTCAACATGTTCGCAGCTTCTCCATCTTGACAGAGTTGTGGTTGTTATTTCACAAGTTTTCAGTCATAAACTTTTTACCTAGGTTTGCTTTTTTTCTCCTGTTCTTTGTAAACCAAAATCTGTGCACCAACAGATTGAATCCTTAAACATTTTCTATAGAAAAGATCTTGGTTAAACTTCATGAATCTATTAAATTATAAGGAATGATAAAATGCATTGATAAAGCTTGTTTTGGAACTAGACCATTATATATGATAGTGTTGATCTGTGTTTTGTCTGGTAATCATTTTATTACCCTGTGAAAGAAATTTTTGCAATACAGTACTGACAAGGTAAAACATACAGAATAAAACAATTAAGAGAATTGTGAAACCAGTTCTGTTTAGAGTAATCAGTTGAAATTGTGTGTGTGTGTGTGTGTGTGTTTAGCCAGAATCCTCCTGTTTCACACAAAGCAAGCTGACCCTGATTTATATACCTGGTGGAAGTAACCTAGCAACGTCATTGAGGAAATTATTCTTTGGAACTTCTCTAAAGGCATTCAGTTAAACATAAGCGCTGCAATTGGTAAAACAAAGGTCAAGAACGGTTTAACAGCTTCTTCGAAAGGGGCTGTTGTTTTTTGTTGACTTAAGAAAAGTGATCCCAGAGGTTTTTTTTATCCTTTATCTGTAAATTGTGAGAGAGCTGTTTTAGTAGAGTAGCCTCACAGTAATTTCTAAATCCAAATTATATCGTGTTGCTTACATATCTTAGAAAGGGTCTTATAACAACTTCTAGACTAACATGTAAATTGGATGCTTTGTATAGTTCCAAGAAATACTTTGAATGGTCCCTCTTTATCAGGCAGACCTTTGTAAAATATGAACAGAATAAACAGAGACCTGAAATAACATGCACTTCTATGCTAAGGATTTGAATAAATGTATTTGCCTTCATCATCTCTTTAATGAAGGATAAAAGATGCAGAACTATACAGTTCCCCATGACTGTAGGGTATTATCTAATCCAACCCTTCACATATGCAACTGCTTTTAAAACTTCTCTTGACCAGCAGGAGACAGAACATGATTGGGGTCATCTTATACAACTCATCAGCCATACCTAGTCACATCTTTCTAAGGGGTAGAAATTGAACACATGGACCTTACACTTTAGATTATTATACATAGGGCTTTATGGTACAAGCTACCTGTCAACATCATCTGGATCTGTCCACAGAGAAAGGAGAACTACCAGAACATTATGCCCCTACTTCCAGTCCTTGCAAACAGTGCAGAAGGATAACATGGGTGATGGTACTGAAAGCTGCTGAGAGTTCAGGTAGCACCAGGACAGTTACACTACCAAGGTCCCAGGTCTGCCAAAGTCATTATAAAGCATAACCAATGGTCGGTGCTGTGCCCCTGATCTGAGACCAGTCTGAAAAGGATCTAGATAATCCATATCCTCCAGGGCCCTCTGAAGCCACAACCTGATCTTCTCAAGAGCCTTTCCCAGGAATAGGCATACCATCACCTCCTTCAACCCAGGGGACATCACTTCTTCTCTCAAAGAAGCAGACACCACTGTTTGGACCAAACTACATATTGCCTCCTAGATGGCCTTCACCGATCAGGAGGGACATGGAGCTAATATAGAAGTGGCTGGGCCCATCTGCCTGAGGAGCCTGTCCACTTCCTGGGTTCCGCTGGAAGGCAGTACATGACCAGTTTCATCCTATATTGGGACTCAGCAGACATATGCAGCTCTGGGATCTTAAGGGAAGGTGGGCTGTACGCATCATTCTAAGGATAGCTTTTTTTGTGTGTTTGCAAAATTAAGGATGAAAGTGGAAGTGACAGGTCTCTGAAGGGCAAGCTGCATCCATTCCTGTTCTTAAAATCTCACAGAAATCCCCCCTCAGAAAAGGCCCAAAATCATACTACTGAAAAATGGCCATTTTAGTGTCATAAATTGGTAGCACAGTTTGGGGCTCTTTTTCACATGTTGAGGACTATGTAAATAGTAGTCTAGAAGTAGGTTGCCTCCAAGAGGTTTTCTGCTCCAATTCTCAAGCTTAAGCAACTCCCAAAAGTGAAAACAATGATCCCCCCCCACAAATATTCAATCTTGACATATCATCACAACCTCCAAGGGCCTTCCAAAATGTTGCAACTCCCATCTCCCAAATGTTGCCTCCAGTTGTGCTCAGATGCAATCTTTTCCTGCCACCTTGTGGGCAACATCTAGCGCACTCCTGAAGTGGCAGCGGGTTTAATTAATGTTTATTAGATTTAGTACTCACCACAATCCCATCCCTAAAACCTTTCTCTCAGTTTCTCTCAGACTAAGTTTAAAGCTTAGACTTTGAAGCGGCAACTGGAAAAAAAAAAGGACAAAATATTCGAAGGTACACAAACTAATTTTTCTTGTTTCCCCATTTTTTTTTTTTTAGGTGATGTCTCTCCAGTGCATATGAATCCAATTTCACAGTCTCAGTTTGTTCCTTTGGCAGAAGTCTTGTGTTGTGCTATATCTGATATGAACGCAGCTCATATTACAGTTACACAGGAAGCCTTACTGCATCAGTTGGGAAAACATTACCCAGGTAATCTGCTAAATCGTGGGTTGCTGATACTGAATGTAAACATTCAGTTCAGAAGGACTGCAGTGAGCAGAGTGAAGCAGTGAATGCTCTTTGGGAATGGGAAAGCCATTTTAACTCCCTTTGTAAATCAAAATATAAAGCATAAAGTGTTCTATCTTGCTTTGTATCATCATAAGAGTAATATAAAACTGGAAATAAACATTGGAAGGTGCATTGTCTTCCCTGGCATTAGGCCTCAACTTCCTCCCAAGATACACCTAGGGTGTCTGTACACAGAGAACATGCAGAGATGTGTTGCCTCTTCTCGCACATTGCAATGGCAAAAACTGCTCATTTACAGTGAAACAGATGTCAGCATCTTTCTCCTCTCCCTGTTATTTGGCCCTCCTCAACTAGCCATCTAGCAGCGACTCCAGAAAATTGCCTTTTTTTTCGCTGTTGTCTAATCAGGTCAGCTGAATTTATAAGAGATGCCCCATAATGAAAAAGGGTTAGCAATGATATTTCTAAAATGTTCTGAACCTGATTCTCTGCAGAGTGAATCTTCTGCTCCTGGGCTGGGACAAAATCAGAGCGTGACTCTTTGTTCTGATGGACACTGGAGAAAGAGAGAACACAAATGCTATATAGAAGAAGAAACTGCTTTCAGGACTCCTTGTGGAATGATATGCCAGTTGTTCTTTCTCCATACACTTCAAGGAGAACCAGAATCATGCAGTGGCTAAGAGATGAAGAGGACAGAAAATCGCGGGTTCGTTCAGGCCAAGAACTGAGATGAGACAGAACTAACTATTCTGTCTTATCTCTTCTACTGGAAATAGGAGGATAGTGTGGGATCAAAACGCAGGACACAATTTCTCACAATAGCAATACATGTTTTGGGTTTGGGGGCATTCTGGTTTCAGGGATTTACCATATTTTGTTCTGGACGGGGCGGCACTGCTCCAAACAGACCCTGGGTGCAATCTGGGGGTCCTCCTGAACTGACAACTCCTGCTTGAAGAACAGCTGGCAGCTGTGGCCGGGGGGCCTTTGCACAGCTTCATTTTGTGCGCCAGTGACACCCTTTCCTGGATCAGGAGGCTCTGCATTCAGTTACTCAGGCCCTGGTTACCTCCCAAATAGATTACTGTAATGCATTCTATGTGGGGCTGCCCTTGAACAACATTCAGAAGTTGCTGCTGTTTTAAAATGTGGCAGAGCAGGCAGTTATGTGCACTCCTCGAGCAGTGCATGTTACACCTCTGCTCCACGAGCTGCATGAACTACAAAGTCCTCCCAGGTGCAGTTCAAAGTGCTGATAATGACCTATAAAGCCCCCCATGGCATGGCACTGGGATATTTGAGGGACCATCTCTCCTCAGTTACATCTACCTGTCCCAACAGATCCAGCAGGAGAGGCGTGTTATGGGTCCCATCTATTAAGGAATATCCTCTGATGGGA